AACTACATTTTCCCACATCTTTCAATCACTTTCGCAAACCTCTCCAATAGCGTCTCCAAAGAGATCCTCAGCTCGCCTTTCTTCATCGAATCCCACAAGACTTCACGGAGCTTGGGATCCCGGACTCTGCAGTTGGTTTCGCTCAACTTCTCGCAGAGCCTCTCCTCCCCTGATCACGGTGCACAAACAGAAACGGTTTGGAACAACAACTGACGTGCCTTATGTTATGGTGTATTGATGGTAGTCTAAATTTTGTGGGAGGGTAGTTATGGTATGCTGATGGTATTTATCGTATATTGATGGTAATTTACGGTATGTTAAAGTATATTGATGATACCTTGTCTAGTAACCGTAGTGCTATTTCACTTCCTGTTCATTTAGATTCGTTTTCTCGAACAGAAATGCCTTTGAGATTTTTCGTTGAAGAAATGCAATTCTGCTGATGAAGCTTCTCATTTCAGAAACGTTCGCTCAATCGGATTACTTGCATCCTTTTGCGGCACTGACAAATCAGCTCCTTCTCGCTGCTCGAGACGCCGATGGATGAACTTGCAGTCGCCCCCAAAGTGGCACTCCCTCCTTGCGCCAGAAAGCCATGGGTTTATGAAGAGGCAGGGCATGGGCATTTAAAACACGTTCAGGTGCGTAAGAAACATGAAAAGGACAGCGATGTTTTTCTTGTGCTGACCCCGCTCTTGCTTATGCTGCTTGCATCGCCATGCTTATTCTTTATGCTGCACCGCGCTTTTTGTTATGCCCTTCAGGCCTCCACTATGCTGAGTGTTTTTTCTTCTGCTGAAGGTGTTTCTTTTTATGCTGCCCAGTTATCTCCTGTTATGTTTGGAATCTGTGTCTGGGGCCTACCTTGGGCCCCTGCATAACAACCTGTAGGGCTTAAGGAGCTCCCCGGGCATAAGGACCTACACCTTGGCCTCTACCCTAGAGGGTTTAAGGTTTAGGGTAGGTTTGTCTTTAAGTTGTGTGTGTGGTTTCAGGGTAGAGTTGTCTTTGAGGACGTCCCGTCGAGCCCGGCCTATTAAAATTTGGTTTGGCTTGGTTTTGGTTTGGCTTTGTCATATGGTGGAAAGTTTGGGCGGGCACATCCCCCCCATCCCCCCTTTGCCACCTCGAAAATTGCTGTTGGGTTTTAATATCTTGTTTGCGAAGCGAAAGGGAACTGTCAATGCAAAAACATGGCTTGGTAGGGCCCCCTCCCCCAATTTGCCACCTCACCAAGTACTCCGTTAGGCCTTGATTGTGAAGCCAGGGGGATATGTTAATGGAAAACATGGCTTTGGATTCTTATGGGAGTTGTGGAAATGGTTGAAATTTCGAGTATAATGGTGGGAGCAGTGAGTGAGAATCCTGGGTAGTCGTGTGTGATGGTGGGGATGGCGAATCGTGGGAAATCGCCCGACTGGCAGAAATCTTGGTGGGAAATGGTGGGAATGATGGGCCATGGTGTTGCATGGTGGGTGGGTCGTGTGCATGGTGGGTCATGGTGGGCAGTAGGATGGTGAGCAGTGAGGTAACGTTGCAACGGGGAGGGAATAACGGCGGAGCCGGGGCAGTCTGGTGGATGTTTTAACAGGGTAAAAAAGGGTTTAAGCAAAATGGCGGGTAAGTGGTCTGCACCGGTGGCAATGGGTAACAGTGGGGTGTGCGTGGGTACTGGGCACTTGTGGGGGGGCAGAGAATGTCTGAGAGTGGCAAGAAAGGATGGAATGGAGGGCGGCGGGTAGCGGGGGACAAGAATGGGAATGGTGGGAAGGAGGGGAGGAGGGGAGGAGGGGAGGAGGGGAGGAGGGGGGAGGGGCCGGGGGGAGGAAGGGGGGGGCGGAAGGGAGAGCGGGGTGGAAGCGGGGGAGAAGGGAGAGAGGAGAATAACGGGAGGGCTGGGGAGCATAAGAAAAAGCCAGGTCAGCATAATAACAAACACATTGAGAATAACGACAGAAACGATAGCATAACTGAGGGATTCTGGAGCATAAGGAAAAAGAGGTGGAGCATAAGAGCTCGGAACACCTTCTGGGGCACAGACAGAATAAGAAAAAAACGTCCAGCATAAAAAAAACAACGGTCCAAATGGAAATTGCCTGGGTATTTGTAGGAAGAACAATAAGTCAAACGGCAAACATTGAGCGACTGCGTCCTCTCATGATGTGCGCAAAGCTGTCGGGCAAAAGATCCACCGTATTTCCGGTGGCACTCTTCAGCACCTGACAATCCCTGCGTAGAAATCACCTCCGAAGCAAAGTGCCAGGTGCTAAAGCTTGTTAGAAATCTGATTGTGCTTTTTCAAAACAAAAAACTGCTACAGCCTGTCCCGCCTCGCTCAAACGAAGCTTCTGAACACGAGAGGAGCCAAAGTCCATCTCATCTTCAATGTCACAGGAGTTCTTCCAGCTCTTTGCCTGCTTGCGGTCACAAACGGCTACCACAGCTGTATCTCCACCTTCCGAAGCTTCCCACGCATCGAGTTGTACTCCTAAGGCACCATCGCTCCTTCCATCCTTGCATGGTTGGACGCACCCGATTTGACGCGCTCGCCACACCAAGTCGTAGCAGACTCCCGGGGCAACCTGGGCCTCTGGATGGTGGCCATAGAGAAACATGGATTCGGCCAAGCTGGGGGTGGAATAAAACTCCTGACCATTGACCTTCTGAAGGAAGGAAAAGGCAAAGTCTTCGAACTCCAGAGGCTGGACCACTTTTCCTGTGTGTTGAAGTGAAATCGAAGCACTTTCGTGGCCAGATGGCCCCCTCTGTCGACGGATCTTGACACCATGGATTTTCTCAGCACACAAACCCCACTCCTCCGTGGAATAACTGCAGTTCCAGGTGGACTTCGCGATTCGCCTGACATCTACACAACGAATTTCTTTCTCGAAGGTGTGAAATCGAAGGATCGCCAGCAGTAGTTCCGAAGTCAAGAGAGGTTGCTGAGGTGACAGGACGACATCTCGATCAGGATCCTCCATCGCTAGATGCAGCCATTGATCTTTGTCAGCATGAGCAAAGGTTGATTTGATGCCTACGGGCATACCACACAGCAGTTGGTTGCTCCAAGCAAACTCCAAGTCTTCCAAGGGAACTTCATCTCGAAGGGTTTTACTTGGTATCCGGAACACAGGCCTTTCAGCAGATGCGTATTTGTTGAAGGCATCCACCAGAGACTTGGGCAACTTGGACGGGCCAAACTGTAGCGGTGGTCTGAGAGCATTGCAGATCGCTGGCTTTGCTGGTTCCCTCAATTCCCTCTTTTCTCTGAATGGCTGAGCTTGCTGAGCTTGCTGAGCTTCATGGCCTTGCATGTGCTGAGGGAAATCATGCTTTGAGAATGTGGAAGATGTGGAGCACTGGGAATCCGGATCACCCTCGGCTTCATACTTGCTGTAGCACTTGCTACACAGCACAGCTTGTGGTTCACTGCGCTCATAGCACACTCCAAGCACGGGAAAGATGTTGCATCTGTCACACCTTCGATTGTGAGCTGACGGATGCTTCATGCGCAAGTGCTTGAACAAACCATTCCGTGAAGAGAAAGCCTCAGGGCAAAAGAAGCACTTGACGTGAAGACGTCCATTCCCCTCATCACATTGCGTCAAGGCCCTAGGCATCGTGTGAACAAGTCCAGCGCAGGGCCGTGCCCACTTCAGGAAGTGCATGGCATTTGCTGACGGTCGTCTATTTAGCGATGTGTCTTCAAGACATCTGAGCTGTGAAGCTTACCGGGATTCATCACGATCAGTCCTGTTGTGTTTTGTTGAAACCCTCTGGCAATGCAATATCGTAGTCATCGCTACACATTCATTTAACACGATGTTGTTCAAAAACATGGAAATGTCCAAGAACATGGACTCGTCTCATGTGCCAAAACGTGATCATGGTCCACTCTTTCGGCTTTCGCGACATCTTAACGGCTCAGCGGATCAACTCAGCTTTAAGTCTGGCAGATTCACCTCTCGAGCCGAGGCATTGAACCCACCACAACAGACCACCACAGACGGAAGAAATAGTTCGCGATCCTCTATAAACTTTACTATAAACCTGGAGTTCTCATTCGGGTTGTGTTCATATCTCAGGCCAAAAGATAGAAGAACCCATTAGGGTCATTCGGAGAGAGAGCAAGTAAAAAGGAGGGAGCTAACCCGGCTAACAACCGGGATTCAATGCCAATGCGAAGAGTAAAATCCTGCTCAATACGACGGCAACTGCAAGGTAATCATGGGAATCTTATGTGGGCAACGATCCCTTGAATGGCTCCTTCCTGTCTTCTATCCAGCAGTCAATGGCAAAAGAGATTCTATGTTTCAAAGTTTTTTTGGTTGCGACCAGACAGGGATGCCTGCTGATCCGTAATTTTGCTAACAGACTCCGGGATCCTAGATCCCTACTTCAAGGCTCTGGGAAGTTAGTAAGTAGGTTATAAGTCCATTTATAAGTTCCCTAAGTTGGCTTATCGTAGCGAACCAAATCGCCAGGGACGGGAGTCCGACAACCAAGGGCCGAATGCTGGGACACGGGCCAAAACTGCACATCAGGCCAAACAGCACTGAGTCTTGCAAGGCAAGTGCCTGCGTCTCTGTGCAGCGACGCTGCTTGGCTTGCAATACGAAAGTTTGTAGGCGTTGTGTTTGGACTATTATGAGTCCCTGCGTGGAAACAATCTCAGCGAGCTGGCAAACACGCTAGGCGGTCATATGGATCAACCGCTTCGGACTTTCTGTGGAGCTACGCGGATTAGGTACTTTAGCGCATGCTTAGCCCAGATCGCAGGACTTTGGATGTTTGCAAATCCAGCAACCTTGCTACCCTGTATGGCCCCACGGCCACCTGCCAAACTTTCTTGTGCCCCTTCCCCTTGAACATGTAGTTGCACAACACCTCTTTGGGTGCAATATGCCTGCATGCCCTAGGTGATGCAACCAACAGAGTCCCCGTGACCATTCATCCACCTAGGCATCCGTATGGCCAGCTGCACACCTTTGCAGCAGTCCTGTGCCTCCACTTCGCACATTACACGGTCCTCAACGCAAACTACAGTCCTTTGGTGAGAGGCATGCAGGGAATATCTCAAATTGACAAGGTCTCTTCGCTTGCTGCTTTCAAAATAGCCTGATCCTCGATGCACACTTTTTCGCTTGGCCCAGCTTTGGGAATTTATCGGAGCAAACGGAAACTGTTCGAAGGCAACCTCGGGGCTAGAATCACTGACAGCTACGGCATGACTTGGAATCTCCAGGAAGCTGCGCGCAACATTTCCCCAAAGGTGGTGTTGCGAGATCTAGTACTTCCCAACGGTGGCAAGCAAACACGCCTGCTCTTTGTGCGCATTGGCTGGAGATGTACGCAACTTTGCGAAGCTGCTGTTGGCCACAAAGGCTAGCAGTCTTGGAACAACGTGCAATCCATGCACGTTGGTGTCTTGGGCTTGGGCAAGGTTTGCCAACTGCATCCCAGTAGAATCACCCAGAGCTACCCATTCCCAGGATTATTGCAACCAAAATCGATGCGGCCGGTCATGCTTAATGCTGAAGCCTGAATACGACCTCTTTGCGGCAATTTTCCAGTCGCCAATTGACCTCCACATGGACCTCAGCTGGCAAACCAGCAAGCAACAAGCATTTCTGTTGGCCAGCAGTCACGTTGGAACACACCCACACACCAAAATCGAAATTATCCGGCAGTGTGCCAAACGCAAAAAACTAGAAGACGATTGGCCCGAAAGCATCGATTTGCCGTGTGTTGACTCTATGCACTTCACTCTATGCACTCGAACTGTATGCACTTGGACCATTGTATGCACTTATATGGCTACATACTCACTTGTATACTGCACTTGTATGCACTTCAACTGCATGGCATTCAAGTCAACACACTTGAAGGCCATGCACTTGTGGTCAACTCTATACACTTCATTGGAATTCAAATACATCTGAAGTTAACGGACTTGAACTCGACATTTTTCAACTTAATGCACTTGAGCAACTGTCTGAACTTCACTTGTATGCACCCGACTCGGCTGTGCACGTCCAATCCACGCGAAGCCATGAAAGAAGAGACAAAAATGTCCAACGCGAGAGCCGTCAGCCATGAGCATCATCGGCAGTCGCTTTGAAGTCCAAAGACAGTACTACTTTTGTACTTGAGAGACGAATTTTGAGAGGGGCAGTCCTCAAAGCGCGCGCCGGCCCTATACAGTACTACTTTTGTACTACAAAGGACGTTTCGGTCAACAACGCAAAAACACGAGGGTTTTAGCACCTCTACCACGCGGAAACCCGCAGAGGGGTTGCGTTTATATGTCAAAAAAATGCAAAAACACGAGGGTTTTGGCACCGCGAGCAGGCCGAAACCCACAGAGGGTTGACGCGCGCACGAAAACATTTACGAAAAAATCACGGTTTTAGCACCGCGACCACGCTGAAACCCGCAGAGGGTTGTCCGCGGCGCGCAAGAAACGTAAAAAAAAACGAGGGTTTTTAGCACCGCGACCACGCCGAAACCCGCAGAGGGTTGTCCGCGGCGCGCAAGAAACGTAAAAAAAACTCGGGTTTTAGCACCGCGACCACGCCGAAACCCGCAGAGGGTTGTCCGCGCACCGCAAGAAACGTAAAAAAAACGAGGGTTTTCGCACCGCGACCATGCCGAAACCCGCAGAGGGTTGCAATCCCGATTGACGACGTCAACCCTGCCCGCCGCCTTAAAAAGAGTAATTTAAATTAAGAAATGTAGGACTGGGTACGAAGGTCTACTAAATTCTACTAACATCTCGTAAGTTCTATGAATTTCACTATGAAATGTAGGACCTTGACTATGCACTTCACTTTGTGCACTTAACTCTATGCACTTGACTCTATGCGCTTGACTCTATGCTCTTCACTCTGTGCACTTAACTCTATGCACTTGACTCTATGCTCTTCACTCTATGTTGTTGGGTCAGAGGGCTCCGCACGGAAGAACCCTTCGCGATGCTTTCGGTAAACACAAGCGTTTCCTCATGAACACAATGCTTGACGTAGCACATCGGTGTCAAATCCCTTCAGAACATGTCATGAAAGGACAAGCCGCTGAAAACGACTGTCCTGCGTTTCCAGTGCAATGCGGTTGCCGACCATGGCGCTTCGGCCGCTGGCTGGCAAACCTCGAATTACCATGTGTTTCCGAGATACAACTACAGGAGTTCACGTAAAGACTTCCGATCATGCACTAGTCGATCACATGGTTGCACGAAATAGATCCCGTCTGTATCGCACATTCCCATAGCAGTTGTTAAATGATTGGTTTGCTTCGATCCCTTGAGCTAACCTGCAGGGGATCAGGAAAACTTCACAAACTACGGGAAAACATGGATGTCCTTGATGTCCTTGTTGGAGCTTGAGCACTCCACACTTTTGACACCAAGCAGTCCACCTCAAGTTTGTGACATTTCGGCGATTTTCCATGTCTGTTTCTTTGCAAAGGGAATGGCTTTCCTGCTTCCTTAAGGCCTTAAGGTACGCATGGGAAGAAGATCTGCCAACCTCAGGCCACAGGAAATGTTTGCCCTTCGAAGCTAAGCTCGCAAAGAACCCACACACACCAAAAGTTTGTATGACAGTGCTTTGTGTACAGTAGGGTCGAGGGTGAAGGGCTTGCGCCACATGGTGTAGGGCTTGGGAAATGGGATCCTGCACAGAACTGCCCTCGGGGTAAATATCTATGCACATCTCGTGGTGGTGGAACTGCCCGAAGCGCCAAAGCCAAGAAACCCCAAAACGTATTTCTTGAAAGCGTGGAAGCCCCTCCCCTCCTCTAAACCCTAAGCCTTAAACCCTAGAGCTGCCACCCCCCCCACCACCCTTCGCCCAACAAAAATCACCAGTCAGCTCAAGCAGTATCCCGTACCATCTCGCCTCACTGCTGCATACGCATGAACTCATGCCTCGGTCCTCCAAGCTACTAAGTCCCGGAGGCAAGATGTCTTTCTAACAATGATAACGAAGCAGCTATTGAGCGTTGGATCACCACTGCAGTCTTCTCTCAAGGAAGGGCAGGATCCACGCTCGCGGGTCTCTTAATCTCAAAGAATTCGCTCGAACAAGCGCAGTGGAGCATGCGAAGCTGCCGCAGCAAAGAAGGCCTGAAAGGCTGACTGGAACAAGAAGGTACAGTTCGGGCTTCGACTCTCACACTCGTGCTCGGCGCACACGGCAGGCAAGGCTTCGGTAGGTCCAACACATAGCGGCAATATGTTCTCTGGAGATCAACTGAACAACCTGACCCAACGGTTCATCAGGCTTCAAGGCATCACGTCCCTGCCCCGGAAGATGTGCAAGCCTGGAACAACTGCCTTGTTCAGAGCGTCGATCCAGACTTCTTGCACGTTAGTTCTTGCGTTGAGTCCACAGAGATCTCAGCGACATCCCCGGAAGAAACACTCCAGCAGCTGCCCTTGGGGAAGAGGCCGGAGTGGGCGCCGACAGCTGTCCCGGAAAATCCTACTACGGAGTTGTTTCTTCTTATTGTTCTTGCTACGGTTTGTCTTGCTGCAGTATTGATACATCACCAAAGCGGATTGCTTCCACGACAGCTCAATCGACAGAAGCCTAGCTACAGAGTCTGAGGTCAGGATCCTCAGAAAATCACATAAGAGGCACGCGCTCCAATGCGCTCCCCTCCCTAA